ATAATATTAAATACATTGGTCTACAGGCACAGTGAACTCTAGTATATGTATAACGATATTTCTAAGGAATTTACTAATTTTAAGTTCCTATATGAATGAACGCACATCCATACGCACATTCAACATGCGAGCTGGAATGGGCCTTTTTTCGAGAAAAGAAAACGCTATAATAGCCAGTGCTCCAGTTTCCGTGATCAAAGTTTAAACTCATCCTAAGTAAGGGCCGTTTTCTTAAGTATTCTTTAACTTTAAAACTCGAATTATGTTTAAAGGTTGCATTGACAATAAAGCTGTGTCTAAAGTTAAGCATTTCTATGATCGAGTAGTATGATCAACAGTACTTACGTTTCTTGGTTGTAAGCCAATTTAAAACCGATAATAAAATGCTTTACTTTAGACATAATCATAAATTTTAATGCAACCTTTAAATATAAAGTGAGCGGGCCTAAGAAATAGAAAAGTTATACATAACGGTAAAAACCATCTCGAGATTGCGCCAAAAAAAAATTTTCATATTTACTATTAATAATGACGAAGAAGCGATCGATATGTAAAAAAAAAAGCTTTTTGGCAAAGGTTCTTCTTCAATTTAAGGTGTACGGCCTACTTAGCAAATGCTTTTATGAGAATTTTTTATGAAAAAAATATATGCTTATATGTACATATCTGTGTTCAGGGCCGGCTTTAGGGCCTCGCCTCGCCCTAGGGGCGGTTTCCCTGGGCGCTAAATTGAGGAGAGCGCAGAATTCTGGGATTGCGTTTAATTTTGTAGAACATAAAATTTTCGAATGTGAATTTTCTTCATCGACGGGTGGGGGACTGACTAATCTTCTACTCGAAAATATTGAAAACATCAACATAAATATCAGTTATTTACAAAGCAAAGGAGATCAAGCCGGGGTCTTCGAACTAAATGCGAGAGTACCATTTGTACAAAAGGGATGACATTCCTTGAATTTGGTGTTCTTGATCCAGAACATGCATCACTATTTTTGGGGTACTTCAACGCATCTACTTTCTATTCTGAGCATCTACCCAGAGATGTACCATTTCCAAAAATGAACCATCTATCTATCTATCGAAACTATCGATGGCCACGACCAGCTGCCCGACATAAGCTACTATTCCATACGAGCACAGATACATATGTATGCTCAAAATTTTTGGAACGAGGAACGAGTGAAGAAATAAGAAGAAAATACTTCTTTGACTTACCCACCAACTCTTGGTATAACTTATATGATATATACATACATACATCTTAAAGCATCTAGAAACAAGTGTGCCGATTGCCATCCAATGTATGGGATGCACGTTCATTTCTCTTGTGCCTCGCATGCGAGCAAAATGCAAAATATAGTCAACTATGGTAAGTAACGTTAAGGACTGCATATTTCAGTTTATAGATTTGTTATGAACGTGTGTTATCCAAAAGTTAATATTTTTATAGTTTCTTTGAACCTTGATCTTTATTAAAATATTTTGGTTTAATTTTTAACTTTGCAGGATTTGCAAAGTTTTCCGTAAGTGTGACGTTTTGTGTAGCTGACTTCCAAAAAAATGTAACGTTAAAGATCACCACATTTATCTTTAAAACAACAAAAGATAGAAAGCAAGTGCCTGTATATAAAATGTAGCTTTTGGGGCTTATTATCAGGATAAATGAAAAACTTTCGGTTTTTACACAACGTTTCTGAAATATAAACCGAAATATACGTGCGAATGTAACGTTAAAGACAAAAAATTTTTACCATATCGTTGCCTTAATATAGAAAGGCCCTAACTCATATAGTCGCTGAAATACAAAAATCCGTAACTAAGTAAAAATTCAAAATTCCCTTTTGATTGATTATGATGCATTTCATCGAATTCTAAGTCCCCACATCATTTTAAGCAATACAAGTTTTTTGTTAGTTACGGCTTTTTTGTATTTCAGCGACTATATGAGTTAGGGCCTTTCTATATTAAGGTAACGATATGTATATAGTGTACACTAGGTTATTTGGCATAGTCGTGCTAGGGGTGGAAATTGATAGCGACATATATTATATATATCATGGCTTTTACTATCCCAATGTTTTTGAGCATTTATTTTTTTATAGAAATTGCTTCTATGCACATACTATCGTTCGTGTTTTTAGTTAAGGTGACTCATCAATTGAAGCTAAACAATTGGGCTTTGAACCTACTGCACTGCACGCCTGAATGCATTTACGTCGGCAGGTGTTAAGTAGATAACTTGAATTCAAATTTAAAATTGCACACAATAACGATGGGAAGCTTAAGCTGAGCTGGGCCATTGTTCGAGCAAATGTTGTGTCGAGAAT